ATTCCTAATTTGTACCATATGATGCAAGGATTACATTGTTGATTATCACCGATCGTTCTAAAATTGATGTATGCTTATTTTTTCACATTTCCATTTTAGACTGAGCAGGTTAGGAGATCCATTCATTATGGTTTATTGGCTTTCCTTCAGCAGAAAGGGAAATCCCTAATAACCTAATAGGGTTATCCAAGGACAACCACTTTATTCTTGGCAATTCAGGAGGTCTCCCTCCTTGATGATGGATCCACCAAACAGTTGTTTTGCTACCCTAATTGACTTTCATATCTGAGAGACAACAAAATTTTTCCATCAAATTTTGAATTTCTGCCATGTTCTCATCAGTAGCATCAACCATAAGAGATAGGTCATCAACAAAAAGAAAGCAGATTGGAATTGTCTCCTTCGGTATGCTGGTAACCTGTATTCGTCTAATATCCTTATGATGCCTCAAATTCGCCCCCAGTGCCTCCATAATAATGACAAAAAGAAAAGGGGTCAAAGGATCCCCCTGTCTGACTGATCTTTCTAGTGGGATGGGGGGGCTTACATTATTATTGACCATAACCCTTGTTGTTGCATTTTGATGTAAGATTCTCACCCACCTTCTAAAGTTAGGGTCAAAGTTCATCTTTTCCAGACATTTATTAAAAAAGAACCAATCGACATGATCATACGCTTTTTCAAAATCTATGAAAATGAAAGTTGCATTATGTTTGGGTTAACGAGATATTTTCAGGAGTTCATTTACTAAAAGAATATTGTTCTGAATGTTCCTTCCTATTATAAAGCCTGTTTGGGATGGGTGGATGATTTCTGGAATTATGTAGCCATACGATCTATAAGTGTTTTCGCTATGAATTTATATATCACGGGAAGAAGGGTTATTGAATGATAATTCCTTATGTTTGCCCTATCCCCTTTTTTGTACAGAAGGGTAAGTACCCCTTAACCTACAAATTCCCCCATTTCACCCGATTCCCATATTGCCTTATAGTATTCCATTAGTCCAATAACCCTTCTTACCATGGTATATAAATTTATAGCGAAAGCACTAGCAGATCGTATGACTCTAATAATTCCGTAAATCATCCACCCATCCCAAACACGCTTTATAACAGGAAGGAATATTTAAGACAATATTCTTTTAGTAAATGAACTCCTGAAAATATCCCGTCAATCCTTACACAATGCAGCTTTTATTTTCATACATTTTGAAAAAGCATATGATCATGTTGATTGGTTATTTCCAATTGATAATCATAACATGAGTAGTCAGGCAGATAACGATTTGAGACCTTCCGTAAAACTGGGAATCTGGGGACATTCACCAATGCACCTCCTGACCATCCCAACTTCCCCACCTTCATTTACCAATCGACATTGTCCCCGTTGTGTACAGGAGATGGTGGTTGGAAAGATTACTTCATCGCAGCATGGAAGTCATTCAGCATCAACCAAAAAGTCAAGTAGAAAGAGAATCTGATCAAGGTTTGAAAGATTCGATAGAATTGATTGTTGAGTTTGATCTTTTCAAAAACAACGAACGAGAGAGAGGACGAATGTTGCGTTCTTTGAACAAATAGCTTTCTCGCAACAAAGTTGGTCGCAGTATTGAGGATTGCAATGATTTAGATATGCTCACTTTCTTCAAGGATCAGTGGTTGGCTGAGTTGAGTGCCCGTTGCCGCACCTTTGACAGATTTCGTGAGCCTTTTCTTGCCTGTAGTACCATTGAGTCCAGCTTCTGCTGCCTCAGCCGCTGCTTCCAAATCCTTGGTCGAGAAGGGAGGGAGAATCCTTGCAATAGTTTCAAAGTGAAGGATTACCGTCGTGCTTATAAGAACTATGCTTTGAAAAGGGGAGTAACAGAGTTTTAGGCTCCTTTTATGACCGAAGCAAAGATGTTACTGATCTATAAAGGACTGAGAGAGAGGATGGAGACACAGAGTGGTTGCCGTTATGCGGAGACGTTGCGTGATCTATGCATTATGAGCTATCTTTGGGAGAGTTGGCAGAGGGGAGGTGAAGGATTATGGCTTCGAGGGGGCGAGATTGATGAAAACATAAGGTTGGTTTAACCAAGTTATACTAAGATTCTCCGAAAAGGACGACAGAGGGTAATCCAGTTGAGAGAGAGCACTGGTGAAGTGACTTCTTTTCTAGAGCTCATGGAAGAGCTACGCGTTGTTTATAGTAAGCTTCACCCTCTGGTTGACCTACGTGATGGCGGACCTCTCTTCCGGAGTACAAAGATGAAGGAGATGCTGAGCTTGAGTGGGTTTAACCGTCGGTTGAAAACTTGCATCCTAAAATTGCAAATTTATGAGGGAGAGAGTAGTCACAGTTTTAGAGTAGGTGAAGTGCGAGAAGGAATTAATAAAGGGTGCAGCTTGAAAAAAAATGCTAGGACAGGGTACTTGGAAAACCTTCACGTCCTTCATGCGGTATGGTTATAGCTGCTGCAGAAGAGCGCGTCTGGAAATTTTGCTAGCCACAAGGCCTGCTTTGCCCGGGCTAACTCATTCTTCCGGGACTCTACTTGACGCTATGCAGGTTGAGAAGTGTTTGTTTAAGAAAATTTGCTTGACAGGTTCCAACCTCATCAGAGCTGGAAACCAGCTGGCCTTCTTGGAGACTCGGGTTATGAGTAGGTACTCTCCTCCGAACTCTCTGATTCTGGCCATGGCTTGCTGGATTAGACAGGTCGGTGGAAAAACCCATCTGAAAGGCAGCGCAGGCAGCTTAGACCAGTCTAAGGATAAAACATCAGTAGCGGAGCAGTGATGCGAGAATGATTGCGCTATGAATTGATCACATACATGCATTTCTTTTGACGCGAAGAGATCGATTGCAGGTATTCAAAAGATCTTGAACAGTTCCTCCTTCTTTTCCTCAGACAATCCCCGGTCTGAATTATAGTCGACTGTTTTTTAGAGTACATCTGCCTCCGTATTTAGCTCTCTAGGAATCCAGATTGGCTTCAGCTGGCAGTCCGTTGTTAGCAGAATTTTCGTTATTGCTCTCAGTACTTTGTTAAAAATCTTATTTGCGGATCTCATCTTGGAGAATAGGTAGAAAACCGCTTGGTTGTCTCCCACGCATTCGACTGTAGTTGACATCAACTCTTGAGGGGCATTGTTCCTCATGATTATCAGAGATTATGTGACTGCATACAACTCTCTATGAGTGCTCGATTCTTGCAGAAATTCCTATGGAAGGGCAAAACTGGTTCTTAACTGCTCTCCTATGCTCAAAGTTAGGATTGCCCCTACACCAGATGTCGAGGCATCTGTGCAGATGCTTGCTGATGGAAGCCGCACTCTCCAATTTCTACCTTGAAGGGAGTGGAGGTGTTCAATCCACCATTCCAGGTCTGATTTGAACTTATCAGTCAATTTGATCTTTTTCTTCCAAGAGCAGCTAGTTAAGGCAGCATGAAGGTTCGAGCAGTACAATGATGCTGGCAAAAAGGCCCTGGCAAGAGACACTAAATTTCCTGCTAGAGAGGCTATCCCCTTAGTGGTCAGTTCTGACTCTGAGTTGCAAGATTTCAGTAAATGGCTTAGTCTTTCTGCCTTGTCTTCCTGCACCTTGACTCTCTTTTCGTGCAAGTCAATGATGAAACCAAGAAACCTATTGGTGAGAGCTGGTAGGGTTTGACATTTGTTAAGGCTCAAGAAGAAGCCTAGCTTGTGAAAAACTATAGTTATGAGATAAGAGTTTCACAAACATTTGGCGAAGTTACTCTTGGTTGCGAGACTATCATCCATGTATGAGAAGATCATGACTCCTTTTGTTTTGAACTCTGCCATGACCTCTTGCATGATCGTTGTAAGAACCCAGCAGGCAGAAGAGATCTCGAAACACAGGGTGTTGAAACGGTGGGTTTTCCCTCCCCATTTAAAAGCTAAGAAAGGTTTTGCGGATTCATGCACAGGGATGTGATAATAGTCATTCTTAATGTCAAACGTAACTGTGAAATCCTCCAACGGCCCCCCATCCATGAATGCGACCACATCGTTAATTGTCTCGTAATGAAACTCAGGGAATTTGATAAAAAGATTGACGTATCTGAGATCGACAATGAAGCGCGTCTTGCTTGAGCTTTCAATGACAAAAGAAGGATTACAAACAACAGGGGAATCCGTTTCAGAAATGACTCCTTGCTTTTACAGCAGTTCAACACTATTGGACACAAAGTCTGCGAATTGGGTTGGTAACTGATAGTTAGGGATTTGCAGCGGTGCTGGCTCTGTTTCTTTCAGGATTTATTTGAACTGTGCTGCCCTAAGTACTGGTTTTACCATCCTACGCACTTCATCTATTTTTGACTTTTCCTGATGACCTGTGCCCTCGAAGTTCAACTTGACTCCTTCCTCCAACCAGGTAAGGACACTTCTTGAGTTCTTTCTTTTGGACGACTTGAGCAGGGTTCTCCAGGCCTCGATGTGGCAAAGGTGGACTTTGCATTGAAAGGTTCTGGATCCCTAAGCCATGCGGTCCTATTGCTTAGCATGTTGAAAGCATAGGAGATCTGTGTCGCTGTCGGCTGAGTGTTCAAGGCTCTGATTGCCTGGGAGATTGTGACCTCTTGCTTCATTCCTTGCTGTCATGAGATGATGAGTCTTGCTTATTGAAGCTGCGGTTGTAGCTCCTTGAAGGGCTTCGATTCCTTGAGTACTTGGCTGATTCAGAGCTATTGTACCTGCACAAAGAGAGTTAGAGAGACATACTTGAAAGTTACTTGCTCTGATCTGCCATTGCTCTCTAAGGACCACCGCGGATAAGGCGTGGACACTTCAATGAAGGTCCCTTAAGGTCCTATTTTTAATGAGATGGTAAGATCATCCTCAATGATTAGTAGTAGTAGGTTCGTTGACTGCATATGGTTCTCTTGGGATACATCATTTGCTGATTAATCTCTATTTACCCTTCTCAATTTTTTTTTATTTTTTTTTTTTGTCAGCGTACACAGCTGCCACTTACCCTCTAATTGTTACCTTGGTCTCTTGGTCATCCCACTCCTTGTTAATTTCCTTCATCGCCAGCACAAATGTTTTTAGCTCCATGGATTTCAGCGAGTTCTTCATTACTTCGGAACATTCATAATCACATAGGTCCTCCGCTAGGTTTGTCACTGCATTTTTGAAGGCGCTTGCTGCTGGTCTGCCTCTCTCGTAATGCTTGTAGTTGAGCTCTATCTGCTTGACTCGTATAAGGACTGCTATGTGCCTTCTCCATGGGGGTTGGTCGAAAATGAATTTCATAGCATCTACTTCATTCTTAGCCCCTTCTTGTTTTCGGTAAAGCGACTCTTTCACCCTAGTAAAAAAATCCCTAACCTTGGTTTGGTCAGCGTTGTGCATTTCTATTCTAAGTTGAAGCAGTTTCATTTCCTCCCTTGACACTAAAGCCGACCTGGACGTGAGTGGTGTTTCGGGTCTCTCTCCCACCCTGCTGCGCCTATCTGGTGCCTGCGGGGATGGGCTGACTGGCAATGTGCTGGGCGGTGAAGGTTACAAGTACTCGACAGGCAAAGATACCCCGAGTAGATGGAGATTAACGGGATACATTATGCCGCTGTAGACAAGTATGAAGGTGAGGTTGTGTGGGTTTTGTTCTTGCGGATTAGCGCAATGTTGGACGCAACCTTTGACCAGCCTCATTGACGGATATACCAATGGCATGAACAGTTCTCTTCCTACGAGTGATTCAGCTCCTCCTGTTTGAACTGCATCCCAAATAGCCGGATTCATTCTGGAATTCCTGCAACACACTGCAAACTAGACTCTAAATGTTATGGAAGTGGACTTTTGCTTTCTTCCATACTTGCATGATTTTTTTTTTTTTTTAATCAATATAAAAATATATTCTCTTCTACTTTCTTTCTTCTATTATTATTATTATTATTATTTATTTATTTATTTATTTATATTATTATTATTATTATTATTATTATTATTATTATTATTATCATTATTATTATTATTATATATTTTTGCAATACCTGCTACTTGGACTATGTGTTTTAGTGGATGACTGCCTCTTATGTCTGAAGCTCGCTACTGATCTAAGTGTCCTTGCTTAGATATGCAAGGATTTTGGTGATTCGACTCAGCTCCTTCTCCCCTTCCTTTTTTTTTTTTTTTTTTTTTTAAGGATATA